AACGACTTGACAGCTTTGAGGTCATATTTTTTCACACAATTCATTTATATATTTTGTATATTTTAAACCATGTAGTGGCCGATGTAATAATATCCAATTCCCCATATCGTCCCGTGAGTTTTGTAAGTGACGACAGAGAGAAACTGAAATAGGAGATGGACAGCAGAATCTGCCCCAAAATTATTAAAATCTGCGGTTGCCAAACCACCTGCCAATTTTGCCGCCAGCCTGCTGGCCTATGCAGCAGTGAACTTTTATAGGCTGTAATGGATGAAATGGATGGAAATACATTGTTCATGACAGAAGTCTGAATTTATTCCAAAAATATTTTAAACATTTTCCGTTCCATAAAAAACTTAACTCAATCTGCAATTGCGCCTTATTAAAAAACCTGCATGCAGTAAACAAGTCTTTAGCATAAAATGCTCTTTCTGAGGCAGACACCGTTGTTTACACGCAGTGTTTCTACCGTAAGCAAAATGCAAACGCTTTGACCATGATCCGAAGCAGTTTTATTTTTACCTTTTGTGTAATAACATTAAGTTTGTTATATTGTAAGAATAAATGTAAATTTCATTCTATAATTCGCTCATAAACATTTGTGATTGGTTAACTAGTGAAGTCTCAGTTCCTTATCACTCTTACGTTTTATTTACGAAGTGGCTCCTCCCAGTGGATGGACCTAGAGTGAAAACAACGTAATGTATTCTGTGGTTCCTACTCCGAAAGTAAGTGTCCATGTTTGCGGAGTCTCCTGAGTCTCGAACCTCGCACGCAGCGATTATACGTGGGGCCGCGTCACGGCAACTATGCCACCGAGCTAGTGACGTAAGTCGCGAAACCACGTTTCGCTAACTGCTATCCGGATAACGTGTTATATGGATGCCTCTTACAAAATCGCGAACAACGCGGCAACCTCATTATCCCACACAACATTTGAACATTTCTTTCACGAGCCAGTTTTACTGACTTGATGGGAAACTCGGTCGCCGATCACCTCGGCCTCACAATGATGCACGCGATGTCAACCGACATAGCACCTTTAACAACACACATATGTAAATATACACAAACAGACACACACACATATATATATATATATATAATCAAGTATGTATTAAATTTGGTTTGTATTATGTATATTTGTATAACGATCTTTTTGAGCACGAGCCGCTGCAAAAAACTGATACAGTATCCACTCACGACGGCTGAGCTCAAAATGAGTGAGTGAAGCAGTCTATTTAGTAAAATAAAGTATTACAAGGCTACTCAAAATACCGAAAATTTCGGGATATCTCAGCCGAAAAAAATTAATTAAAACTAAACAAAACAAAATTAAACTGTCATTTACATACCATGGCTTCCCACATGTTAGGTGAAGAGATTAAAATATAGGTTGGGTTGAATAATTTCTATTTTCAAAAGTTTTTGTGTTTACCCCTCCATGCGGACTTAATAAATCCACACCACAAGCCACTAACACCACTTTTTTGTGTATAAATAGGAATTAATCAATTAAAAAAATTAATAAGTTCAACAATCACTTAACTTTCTGACAATGCGCTTTTTATATCATTTATATGTATAATATGATTGTTAAATAATTGATCGAATCTTGTTTTTTTTTTGCCTTAGTAGAACATCCTACGCGCTTAGCGCTTAAGGCGTGTAATAAAAGATAAGAATTTCGACGCCATTGATACTGTATGACCGTGTAATAACGGTGTAAGAATATCCACTAATCTATATCAGCCAGTGAGTGTCGTAAGATACGAATGAAGTAACTTGATAACGTAGATGGCAACAGCATCTTCCTGATAACAAAATTCTGACAGGCTGTAATGATACATTTTATAAAAGAATGTGAGCCACACTGCAGCTATATTATGATTGTAGCACAAATGGGCCGGTTCGACACTATAATGACCACGCTCTCACAGAATACCAGCGTAAAATAGCAGCTTTTCGCTGCAGTGTTTCGTACGATGAGTGTAGAGAACCAGAGAAACTTTTTTATTGTCACTTTAATGTAATCTATGGGCCACAGCATCTACTTACCATTAGGTGGATTATGTGCTCATTCGTCACCTTTATTCTACAAAAAATACTTTAAAATAAATGTAATTGTACTTGTACGTGTGACAAATACTCTTACAAAAAATGAGGATGATGTTGCAGAAAGTGCCAATGATCTCAATTAATCATAAAGTAAAATTAATATTTTAAATAGAAAAAGTGTCAAAATTCTAGAATCATACTTTAATTTTCTTAACAAGATTTTTTGCAAGACAATGTAAGTCAACGCTACGCGTTACATAATTCCTATACAGAGGCGAAAATCCAATAACAGATGAACAAAGAAACAAAATTAATAACATAGCCTTAATAACATCAAACTCACAAAGTAGTTATCGCTGCTTTTATCTTTTATAAGCCGCATACGGCTTACTGACTTTGTTGGCAGAAACAAACTTTTTATATTAAAGTTGCAAGCATGTGTACCAAAGTATAACGCGGCTGGTTATAGTTAAGATATATAATCATTTATATTTACATTTTTATTTAAAAAAAAAGTATTACATTATATTATCGAAAACGATTGTATTAAAATATATACAATAGACAAAGGAAGTAAATGAACCTATATATTTATTTATATTGAATTGATAAAATATGTTACTTATATTATATTACGTAATAACATAACAATAACGACAATTAAAGCGAACGACAAATAAAATTTGAAGCGTCAGTAGCCTAATGGCAGGGAACCTCAACTATGGGCGGTTTATTGAGTACAGAGCCAAAGCAGCCGCAACGAAACTTGGTGTCCTTGCTAGGGTGTGACGGTACTTCACGCCGGGGCAGCTTCTTACCATATATAAAGTGCAAGTTCGGTCGTGCATGAAGTACTGCTGTCACATATGGGCTGGTGCTGCAAAATGCCACCTGGCAGCATTGGACTCAGTGGACAGACGTGCTAAGAGGCTCATTGGGGACCTTGATTTGGTTGAAACTAATCTTGTCAGCCTCGAGCACAGTCGCAGAGTAGCCAGTCTCTCTATACTCTATAGGATGCATTTCGATGAGTGCGCGCAGGAATTATTTTATTTAATAAATTTAATTTCTCCCTCTCCTTTCCAACATCGGACAACCAGACGGTCGGCGGGTCTTCATCCCTTTGTTGTCGATATACCACAGTCTTTTGTAATGCGTACAACAAAGGAGTGTAATAATTTGTTGGCGTATATCTTTCCGTCCGAGTACAATCTGGGCGTCTTCAAGGCAAGAGTGAATAGGCTTTTATTTCGATAAGACAGTGCGATTTACCATCTAAGGCTGAATCACGACTTACAGGTGGTATTGTGGTCAAGTACTGTCTTATAATAAGTACAAAAAAAAAGTCCAACATTACGCTCACATGTGAAACTTAGGATTGTTATTGCGGTAAACAAAAATGCTGGATATTTGTGTACCAAACGAGCTCACTGAAAGAAACCAAATGAATCGTGTACTTATTTGCAATTGACACGACAACGTGCGAAATGGATCATGATCAATGAGTAGTCGATCTTCATAGACTATAGCAAATCATCATCATCACAGCCCTTCACAAGTCCACTGCTGAACATAGGTCTCCCCCAAGGAATGCCACGAAGCAAAATCTACATATGATATAAAGCAATACAATAAAAAAAAAAAACAGAATTATTATAAATTCATTAAAAAAAACATAAAAATTATGGTGCAGCAATAAATATATATATTTCGGAATACTACACAAAATACAGTGCTTGGTTATACGTTTAATATGATTACAAACCAAAAACTACAAATGTCCTATGACAAGTGTTTAACTTATACATTTCCTTTGGCATCTCAAATAGATAATAAAACTTACTGGCCTACGAGTAATTTATTTTACAAATCTGACAGGCGGCTTAACTATACGACCGCTCTTAGTTTTGAAAACAACAGACTTTTTTTCTTTAACGGGTTCTCTATTAGGTTCTTTACAATGTTTTACTGGCTCTACCATTATATCTTTAGTGTTGACAACGGGAGTAACATCATTATCATTCAAAAGATACGCGGGCTTTAAACGATCGATCTAAATACTAGCGATCTTGTAACTGTACCAAAAATACCTTATCAAAGAGTTTAATCACTCTAAATAGACCATTATAAGGAGGTTACAAAGGTCATTTGACAGTGTCACCTCTAACGAAAAATTGAGTACAAAACTTTAACGCCCGAACTTAATAACGTATCTCTTTTTTAAGATTAAAGACAATCCGAGATTGAACCTTATCCAAAGATCGATCTAAATCCACATCTCAATAACACATGTTAACAAGCCCAATCTTTTTTTGCGGCGATCGCAGTCGATCCAAACATCTATCCGATTCCTCTCGACTGTTTCGTTGTATGCATAACGACTGTTGCTTCATTCAAATAGATGTATTAATATAATAACATAAAATGTTGTTTTAAATCTATTACTATTGACACTAATTATACGTTATTACGTTGCCAATTTTTTTCTCCCTAAATTTTAAAATTATTATATTTTTATTAAATTAATGTAAATCTATAGTTAGAAAAAAATTCGGAACGTCGCCGGTAAGTAACGTCTCCGTAGCGTCAGTGCGTCCGTCAAAAAAACGGTCATTCATTATCAAGTTTCACTGCTTAGCTTCGATCGTTTTTGTTTGTTATTAATTTTTGAGCGTATACAAACCTTTTTTCGAATTACAAGGAACATTTACAGCAAGTATATTGTGCATAACAACATAATGGAGACACAAGTAGTAAGTTATATTGTATAATTTGATGTTTGGTGGGAACATGTTACTTTTCCCGTGTACAGCTACATAGATCACTTTTTATTTTAGATAAAAATCAAGCCACTATCAAAGGATGAAACCAAAGCCTTGGTAGAATTTATTGAAATGAGTAAAATTATAACATAAAAAGCCACAAACGCCACCAGCAATAAAATGAAAGATGAGGAGTGGATACGAATAGCCGAGCAGTTTAATGCTACGGCAACTAATTGTCGTTGGACACCACAACAGCTGCGGCTGAAATGGGAAAATTTAAAAAAAAATGCACGTAAATGTTGCACCAAAATAAGAATGAATAGCATAAAAGTGAGTCATTGTTTATTTATTTTTAATCTAAGTACAGGTTAATGATTATCCGTTTTTATTTGAATTCTTTATTAACTTGGTCATTATCAATTGGATTTGCAGACTGGTGGAGGTGTTGGTGAGTACATATCCCCTGATGAAATACTGGATCGTGCTACCAGCCTATTGGGGAGTACAGCCAATGGATTAGTTGTTCCTTATGGGGGAGATAAGGAACCTGAGCGCTATGCAGTGCTTTGTGATGGTAGTGGTATTGAGCCAAATGGTGGTAGTGTATAGGAAATAGGTGGTGATGCTAGAGTCAATTTAGAAATCCTAGGACTACAGGACACATCAGTGCCAGATCCACAATTGAAAATGATTGTGACTTCTACTCCTCTACATTCAGCATTGGCTCAGATTAACACCTGTGCTATTGCTAAACAAATTAAAGTTACAAATACACCACGAAGAGTCACATTTAATGTCCATAGAACAGGTAATGTTTATTTTAGTGTTGATAGAATTTAAATTTATAATATCACTATTTCACATGGTGTTCAGTTCACTGAGTTGGTGGTATGGTGATTAACTTGTATTCCACTTTAGTTTAAAAACTTGTGTAAATTGAGGCAAAATAGTAATATGCAAGAAATATACACCTTTTTATTTGAAGGAAATGCTATCACTTTAAGTTAAATTATTTAAATTAATTTGTATTTTACAGGTAAAAGGAAATTGCAGGGTGATGGGTCCAAATCTGCTAGAGATCTTGCCATTGCAGAATATTATAAGTTTAAAAAACTATGCCTGGAGTCAAAATTAGATAATATACTATTAGAAAATAAGAAACTTAAATTAGAAAATGAAAAACTTTTATTAGACATAGAAAATTTAAAAAAATAGATATTGGTCTAATACTTCATCATCATCATCATTACAGCCCTTCACAAGTCCACTGCTGAACATAGGCCTCCCCCAAAGAATGCCACAAAGCACGGTCCTGAGCCACCTGCATCCATCGGCTTCCTGCATGTCTTACCAGGTCGTCACTCCATCTCGTGGGGGACGCCCTACACTTCGCCTACCGGTACGAGGCTGCCACTCGAGAACCTTTCTTCCCCATCGGTTGTCGGTTCTTCGAGCTATATGGCTGGCCCACTGCCACTTCAGCTTACTAATCCGTTGGGCTATGTCGGTTATTCTGGTTCTACTGCGGATATCCTCATTCCTAAGTTTATCACGCAGAGAAACTCCGAGCATAGCCCTCTCCATAGCTCGCTGAGCGACCTTGAGCTTCCTCATACGGCCAGCAGTGAAGGACCACGTCTCAGTTCCGTAAGTCATCACTGGCAACACGCACTGGTTGTACAATTTCGTTTTCAGGTTTTGAGGTATGTCTGACGAGAAGATGTGTCGTAGCTTCCCGAACGCTGCCCAGCCAAGTTGAATCCGTCGATTGACCTCTCGTTCGAAGTTGGACTTACCTAGTCGGACTATTTGTCCCAGGTAAACATACTCGTCAACAACTTCGAGCTTAGTGCTCCCAACAACTACCGGCATAGGTGTGACATGGACATTAAACATGATCTTTGTTTTGTCCATGTTCATCTTAAGACCTATCCGTTGGGAAACACTATTGAGGTCATTGAGCATAGTGCTTAGGCCCTCCAGCGATTCTGCTATAAGGACTATATCGTCGGCAAATCGAAGGTGAGTGATGTACTCGCCATTGATGTTGATACCGTATCCTTTCCAGTCCAGAAGCTTGAAAACGTCTTCCAATGCAGCGGTGAAGAGTTTCGGGGATATGACGTCACCCTGTCTTACACCTCTCTGCAATTGAATAGGTTTCGTACTCTGGTTCTGTACTCGGATAGCCATCGTAGCCCTACTGTACAAGCACTTCAACACTTCGATATACCGACAGTCAACTTGGCATCGCTGAAGGGACTGCAGCACCGCCCAAATTTCGACGGAATCAAAGGATTTCTCATAGTCCACTTAGTTTAAAAAATTATTATTTTAATAAATAATAGACAATAATTGTGGGTAAGTAGTTAGTAATTAATTTAAGCTTAGAATGTGTTTCATGATTTGTAATTTTATCAGTTATATATAATTTGTATTTGGAAATCATTTAAACTAATGAAATATATATTTATTAAATGTATAAAAGGTAGATAGATAGTTAAGGTTTAATTTCCTTTTTATGAATGTCTGAGTAATTTAAGATAAGAATATTTTTATTGAATATTTATTTTGTGTTTACAGTCAAATTCACAAACTATTTATAAAGAACGGTAACACTTGCAATTTCTGAATTCTTTGCCTGTTAAGAGCCTTAAATATATAAACATTCTTATGACCACGTTCAGAGTTTAAATTTTAAAAAGGGTAAGTATTGTTACTTATACGGAGATATGTGGTATAATAGGTGGAAGGTAGTTATAATTTAAGTTCCTTGTTATAAATGTCTTAATAGAATAGTAATGTGTATTTTTAATAGAAAAAAATATTTTTATTGAATATTTGTTTTATTTTTTCCATTAAATTTACAAACTATAACAACTTATTTTCTAACTTATTCTTACAATCTTCAACCTTTAACACCAGTGTATGCCTGCATCACATTCAGCTGAGGCTTTGGTAATATATATTGCAATTTGAATACATATTATTTGCACCCACATCTCAGAACAGTTTAAAATTCAAAACTATTTAATAAAATATATTAACAAATTATTCTCTAACTTATTTTACATACAATTTTCAACCTGTAACGCTAGTTAAGACATTCTCCAGTGAGTTTCATCTTTTCTACAATGTCCTAAAATAGTTATTTATTATATCAGTCCGGTGCATTGTAGGAATATCGTCAATAACATTATGAGGCATTGTACTGTTGTCAATAGACGGTAGTTCTACTTCAGAGTGGATTTCGGTGAGATTGTGATTTCTGCAAATATTATGTAGGACTGTTGTTGCTATTATTATTGCATGCATATTTGGTATTGACAAACGTAGTGTAAGTGCTACAACAGGGAACCTACGTTTCCATACTCCAAAATATGCTCTGTAACACAAACAAGTCTTTATTAAACACCAGTATTCCCAAAACACATTTTATCTGATAATACAGTTTTATTTAACATACCGTTCAATGGTATTTCTAGTTTTAATGTGTGCTTCATTGTACCTATGTTCAGCTTCAGAAACTGGATTTAGAATAGGTGTTAATAAATATGGCCTGTTAGGATAGGCACTATCTTCAAGTAACCAGCGATTTCCAAATTAGCCTGCGTCACATTCAGCTGTGATAAAAATAAAGAATATTAGGCACTGATAATATATATTGTAATATATTGCAATTTGAATACATATAATTTGAACCCACCTCTCAGAACAGCGTTATTAAATATTGTTACATCATGCGTAGAACCAGGCCAACAAGCCACAACATTTATAAATTTCAAATCTGCGTCACAAACCCCTTGAACATTTATAGAAAAGTAACCCTTGCGATTTCTGTATTCTTCACCTGTTAAATGGCCTAAAATATATAAACATTATTATTAGCAACTTCATAATTTAATTATATTTAACAAAATTTTAAAAAGTAAGTATAGTTACAAAGACACTGTATATATTATGTGCCATAAATTGCCCCAAGCACACGAGGAAATCCAGCAAATCTATAGAACTTGTCTGCACTCCTTTGGTGAACATAAATATATTTATCATATGATTGGGCAATTGCTGATGATGTGTCGCACTGTTCTGTCTGCTGTAGATTTTGAAACTCCAACAAAATCTGCTATGGATATCAACATTGTGCCTAGTGCACAAAACCGCAGAGTCAACAAAAGTTGATGCAATGGTGAAACTCCATAATTTCTGCAAAGGATTAGATAAAATGAAATATATGGAGATTCTAAAATAATGATCTTATTTGTAATAGACCAGCTTTGCTTTGCCTCGTAGAAGTAACGCGTAATAACGGGGTTATTTCTAACAGTAAAGAATTGAGCGCATGTTTATTCAATCGAAACCTAAAGGTAAAATCACCGTCATCGAGACTTTGCGTATAATTCACTCTTCTAATTCTCTTTAGAGAGCGGCGTTGGGTTTCATCTTCATCACTATAGTCGTATAATTGAGCTAGCATTTCCAAATTACTGTCACTGTCACTAGATAGTAACGAATCCATTATGGCGCAAATAAAATAAAAGAAAACACGTAAGAGTTTTGAAATATAAGGATTAATACTAGGCTTTACTCGGATTGCGAATTTGGATTGTTTGCACCGATCTCTTGGTAGAGAGTAATTGTGTTCTGTGCACCGATCGAACCAAACGTCAAAAATGACAGATAGGTTATTGATACACACAAACTGTCATTCACCCACAGAGGTGTATCTTTTTCTGTAATCCAACCTCCTAAGGATAACTTGCTTATACAGATAGTAATTTTAATCTCTGGATTGGTTATTGGCACTGTCTTACCATAAAAGGGATTGAATTATCAATCTTGGATTGCTAAAAATAGATTAAGATTGAATATAAATTTCGGGCGTAAATCAGGATGGACAAAAATTGATTGTGAATTACTAAGAGATTTACAAAATAGGTTTCAATTTCGATATTGAGGATTGTTAAACAATGTCTTGAGGAGCAATGCTTCTACTCTGTTGAAGAATATTTAAATTTTATGATTAGGATTAGGCATCAATATTAAAATGTACTAAGTAATTACAATTATATTATTTTAATTAAATTAAATGTAATAAAATGATTATAATGAATTTGAATGTATGTTATTTCTGTTATGTTATTTATACTCGTTGTGAAAATGTAATTTATGTTTTAGATAAATATTTGTATATCAACATTATGACAAAGCATGCTGGTCTTAAATATTTTGAAAATAAATTATAATTATGATTATGATTGAAATGACATATTTTGTCTACTAAAACGTTATTGTCACTTACTTCTAAATGAGTGACGTCATAAACCACCTGGTAACCGTAATATACGTCGAAAAGTCAATTCAGCTGCGCTGATGCTATTTTTGCTTCTCAGTGCATTACGAAGTCCTAACATTGTCGTGGGCAACTCATAAACCCATGACGAATCATCTAACCTGGCTTTAAGTGAAGCTTTCAACAAACGATGCCAGAACTCTACCATGCCATTACATTGCGGGTGTTATGCAGTAGTTCTTTGTCTCTTTACACTGAAATTTTTTAACAAGCTTACGAACTAATTGCTCTCAAATTGTCTACCCTGATCACTCGACAACGTAACTGAGCATTCATAACGGGCTAAACATCCTCCGAATATTACTTTCGAAACGTTTTCTGCAGTGATATTTTGTGCAGGGAAAGCTTCTGGCCATCGTGTTTTCCTATCTATTAATGTCACGCAATATCTATAACCTTGTACAGTAGTCGGTAAGGGTCAGACGATGTCTACATGAATGTGACCAAAAGGATCGACTATGGGAAATTCACTATACTCTGATAATATATGATTATTAACTTTAGATTTTTGAGCTTGAATACAACTCTTTGCCCATAAATTATTATTGTAGCAGGTAGATGGAAAAGGGGAGATCTCCCGCCGGGCAAGGTGTTCTGCCCGGGGAGCGGCTAACGCTCCGAGTGGTAGTTCGGAGCTATTCTATATATACTGCTTCAACTTCGGAACTTTGTTAGCGCGATTTAGGCTTCGATGTGTTTCGCTTCTGGCGCGACGAGAGCGCCGCTACAATATCAATTTTCATCCCTGGCCAAAATAAATTTTGTCAAACTAACTTTCTTGTAGTGCATTCACACGGGTGGCTCAAATTGTGTACCGTGTCAAGTGCTATTTTTCTAAAACTTTGTGGTAAATAGGGTCTGG